TGACGAAATCCAAGATTTCATAAGATCATTGCTGGACAAAGTCTATAATAATGTTTTGAATTTAGAGGCTACAAATCCTATAGAGTATGCAATCCTTGATATACACATTTTTATTAGAAATCATGTTATAAACACTAAACACTCCAATAAAACAAATGATTATGACTTCGAAGTGCTCTCGGAAACGTAGAAAGGTATAAATTTTTTAAGCAAGGTGCGAGCGAACTAGATTCTCAAGGAAGCGCAGCCCGCTAACCATTTATCAAAGGCCCAATATTTCGGAACCTCGGAAATCTCTAAAACTAGATCCACAGGAATTATTTAGGCTAATTACTAAATGATACTCATCTTGTTTTGTGGGGCTCCTCATGCTTACTGTTCGTATGCTATGATAGGTTTTGAGGTGAGATGACCGCCAAGCGTAATATGATATCCTAATCTAGTGTTTGAAGCACCGGACATGAGATTAAAATATCATACTACGCTTGGAGGTCATCGCACCTCAAATGTCTCTTCAATCGCGGTGATTTTAGTCATATATGGGAAGAAATTCGGTATGTAGATTTTATCAAAGGAATCAGCAAGTGTGAATTAGGTGATCTGAAATACAGAAGGAGTCATTTGGTTGTAAGATATCAAATGTGCTTTTATAATTATCTTAAGTGACGGTTTTTTCAATTTAGCATCGTCAGGCGCACTTGAAGTCGGTCTTGCAGAGCCTTCTGCCAACGTCCCAGTAATGTCTTATTTTTTTACATGTGAATTGGGATCAAAAGAATCAACGCTTTAAGGATCTTCACGGCTAAAATCCATTGGAGCATTGAAACAAAAAAGTAGAAACATGAATGTAATGATAAAAGTATGAACAGATTGAAAAATATTAGGTTGGTGCAGAAGTAATGCGCGTTAACCCTTGTATGTGGACAACTTTTCCCCATCAGACTTTCGCTCTATCCAATAGTGGTTGGAACGAATTCTAGACTCATTCCGTTGAATTGCATTCACTTTTCTGGCCAGAATTGAAGCGCAAATGAAATATTCTTTGAAAATTTAGCTGCTGTATGTAATAGAAATTATTCACATTATGCACACTTTACTATCTTCTTGGGAATTACTTAGACTGAGATTTCGGTGCCTCAGTTTGGGTGGTCGTTTTGGTTATTCTGTGGCCCCTAAATTTCCTTTGAAGGGAGCAATCGCCAAAGTTTCGCTCATTTCTGTAAGCGTAAGGGTGGGGCTCCTGTTGACAGTTTTTCTAAGATCGTTGAGCTGTTCAGAATGCAAACAATAAAACAAATTCATATTTTGGGACTTTGAGACCTACGAAAAAATGTCGAAAAAGCCGAAATTTTTGAATTTCAGTTTTTTCATTTTCTCAAATCATCTCTGTTCGAGCTCTTACATCTTTTCTTGTGCTACTATCTTGCAGCTACAAGATAGACTACTTGTTGTCTCTACTAACAACTTTTGAAGAAAGTTATGCTTAGTTAAAAACGAGGTTCCATAAGGAAATTTTTCTTGCTTTACAATCCATATTTTTCTGTAGATGTACAGATGGATGTGCAATGTACTCTGGAAGGTTTGCTGCCTCTGATCGTCTCTATCGCATTGAAGTATGAAGTTTTCGAGAAAGTTATATTACGTTAAAGTAAGAACTCGCAAAACGCGCATCACTTTTGCACCAACGTAATAAATTGGGTAAATAAAAATATTATAGTAAATATAATCAATAAATAAATAAGTTAAACTGGACACAATTTTTTTTCCGAGATCCATCTTTCGTTCATGAGGTTTCAAGTCATTTGGGAAAGAATGGCATCGCATTTTGTGCTTGAATTGCCATTTCTTGCCCTACTGCGCTGTTTTCGGGTGATTTCTAATGAGTATGTTGCAACTCTAAGACGATTTGTACTCTGGGATATACGGCGGCAAAAATCTCTTCTAGCTACTCATCTAAATAGCACAAAAGGTCTTTCAAAACATCAAAATCTTAGCTCCTAGTATAAGCTCCTGTAAGACGAATGCGGTCGGTTCGATGTGCGACGTGGGTGTGACGCGGCTGTGACGCGGCTGTGACGCAGCCGTGTCGCAGCCTCGTTGCACATCGAACCAACAGCCTTCGTCTTGCAGGAGCTTATACAGGGTGTCCGTAAAAAATGTGCCTACTGTTTGATTGTGAATAACCCTCTTCTAACGAAGTCTTTCGAGAAGCTTTAGGCACCATTTTGTAGAGCGAGGTTCAACTTAGATTTGCAGTATAGAGCGAATCACCGAGCTCGTTTTATTACTGTAGGAATACGGTAGGAACTTTCAGCATATGGAACCATCATGAAATATGCCGCCTGACAAATTTTTTTTCAAAAAATCTGAAAAATCGTGTACTAGGGTTTTCGCGCACGCTGATTCCACTACACAACTTTTTACGGGTGTTTTCAGCTTTTTTGACAGTGTAATCACATTTCTGAAAAATGCTGGAAATTCAATTATTACGGTTCACCTGGGGTAACTTAGGAAAGAGGCACCACAGTAAAGTGGAAATTTCATATTCGAAAAGAGCGGCTTCCATTACCATAGTGTAAGAATTTTCGGCTTGTTTGGTTATGTTCCGAGGCAGATTATGGCCTCCAAAGACCTAAAATCCTTGTCGAAGTTCCTACCGTAATCCTACACTAATAAAAAGAGCTCGGTGATTCGCTCTATACTGCAAATCTAAGTTGAACCTCGCCCTACAAAATGGTGCCTAAAGCTTCTCGAAAGACTTCGTTAGAAGAGAGTTATTCACAATCAAACAGTAGGCACATTTTTTACGGACACCCTGTATATGGTGGCCTCGTGACTAGAAGTGCTTTAGGCGGAAATAGTGTCATTAATGGAGCAGTGTAGACAGTATAGCTCAGCAGCTTCGCTGAGACAGACATCATGCACGCATAGGTGCAATGGTAGAATGCTATAGAATACAAGCGTGTCAAAGTACCATCACAAATATCTGGGTAACAAGATACTCATAACAAAGCAGGCACAGCAGGTCATGCTTATGGCATGACCTTTACTGTGCTTAGGAGGATAATAACATAATTACAAAAAAAGCCAAAAAAGGCAGCACAGATTACCTGTTGCAAATGGAACGCACGCCTGATGCTGATTTGAGTACCAAATGTTGAATTGAGCCGAGAGGTGCACTGAGTAAAGAGTTCCAACATATCTATCTCCTTTGACTCTTACAGTCGGTTCCAGTTCAGGCCAAAATTGGCATGGCGGGAGTCCGTGTCGCGTGGGGATCGCGTCACGTTTACGGCTAGCTAGTTTGCCTCTTCCTCAATCTCTTCGCTCCCTGCGATAGCACGCGTATGCAGCGCAAACCCTAGCGCTGCGAGCGCGCAAATGCCTGATCTCGATTGGGGCAGACTCGAACCTTCGATGAGCGTCTGCTGTGTACGTGGTGGCCAAAGTGAGAGGCTCGCTCTTTCTTGTTATACACTGGTAACGCCTATCAGCTCTTCGCAGCTTCATCATGACTCAAATTCAAGAGTCTACTCCGTGGAATAGACATGAGTGTCAAAACATTATGGAGAGCATAAAACTCACTTTGTCATCCGTATATGGGCAATAAATGACGTGTATCAAACCACTGATTAAATGTGAAATCTGTATGACGTGTGACTGCACTCGAGTTTAGAGTGTTTTTTTTTGGCATTTGACTACTTCTCTACTGCGGATCTATCTCGTCATAATAAAACTCGTTTGTTCACAAAAAAAGAGTGAAGATATTACCTCTAAGACATAGATGTACTCTTTTTTCACAGTCATAGTTTTTAAAGAACCAGACAGCGATGACTAATCTGCCAAACTAATCGATCTGCTAAACACATTGAAAAAGATACCGCTCATATATATAGGCATGGATTGCATCGACAATTTGACAACCAGTTTGGCTTTCTCATTCAAGTGTTGTGAGCTGACTCTGTTTCTGTTTCCAAAGCAGTGTTTTTGATGTCAGTTTTACCGCTCTTGCACTTTTCGGAATTCTACGACCGATTCTTTGCAATTTTCCAGATTTGTGTGCAAATGGTAATATGGGCTATTCATATGTTAATCTTTGCAAAAACAGCTATTGCTTCTAAAGCATTGACGTTCGCACCATCATGATTCAGCCTCTCACAAACAATGTCAACGTCGTTAGCTTTGAAAGCTTCGTGAAAGGACGTTCGTGAATATACATGGTGCATCCATCGGTACACACGCGGTCATTCATTCTCGATGATGGTAAACAATGTCCGTTAGAATATAAACCCTGCGCATCAAGACAGCCAACGCATCAAGTTTTTTTCCTATTCGAAGGAGCAAACAAATGTTTACTGCTTTTGTGCACAAATTTGGCGTCATGACAATTTCTATAGATTGTTGGGACGCTTGATTTTTTGATTTTTTGAAGAGAAATAAACTCGTTTTTGAATTCTGCAAAGAATGTTGATCACGGCAATACTTTTGTGTACTGCTTCCAAACAACTCTTTTAGTAAGGAATTATTAGAATTTTCTCAACCTTCAATCACTATCCGATCATCCTCATTTTTTCGTTCATTTCCTCCTTATTTGCATAAGCATGTCCGGAAGAAATCGACCAGAAGTTGCTAAGGTCTGCTGTGGCTCAAAAACAACCCGATCATGAATGGTCCATGGCTTTGCAAAGTCAAGGGAAAATCAGCAACCGCAAAGTTTTGGGAAGCACTCGATCAAACGCAAGCTTTGTTTGAACCACTCGTCAAGCGAAATATTTGATGATAGAGTTGTGTATACTGTGCAATTAGGTTCTAATTTTGACATAATCTGCAACATTACTCTTACAAATGCCTTGCGATTACATAGCAGAGAAAAAATCTCGTAAATATCCTCGCTCAGAAAATCATTTGTTTCTGTGTCAAGTTTTAGTCAAGAAATTCCGTTTGTTCGTCGTTTTATGAACCGCTCTATGTGCCGCCTACTTTCTTAGAATATCTTTTCCAGAGATTTTACGTCAGCTCGACCAGAATGAGAATTTTCAACCTTACCTTCTTGTTACTTACCATCTTAGTGGTACGTTGACCAAGCAAGACATGACTTAATTTGCGATTTTACTCCTTACACTTACTTGCTGTACATTACTTTAATGCTTACAGATTTTCTCTGCTGTGAACGTTGCTGAAGGCGGATTTGGAAAGAAACTCAAGAAATTTGCAAAAAAAATTTTCAAGTACATTCCTGGTCACAAGATTACATATACGAAACAATTTTGAAAATTTATGATATTGATAGTTTCTCTGTGTGCACATCAGCTTCCAAACAATGTCATTTTCACAACTTTGACTATTTTCAACTGAGTATAAATACTTCTGACTACATTGCCATTCTCTCATGGTACTATTGCTTCAAAGACAAAACTGAGCACAACATACCCAAGCAACATATTCCTCTTTCCAAACGTTGAAATACTGAAGGAAATTTGTAATGCAGAAATGAGTGAAAATAATAGAGTAAAAATGAGATATTTGCACTTTAAACTCAGAACTAATAATTCCGTATTTATTTTTTCAACAGCTAAAAAAGTACAACATAAGAGGTCAATTTGTTTCTAACCTGGGCGCAGAATGTTTCATTATTTCTATTAGGTTGGTGCAAAAATACAGGGTGGTCCACATGAAATGTGACGCCCAAAACCTTCGTAACTTTGCTAATACTCAATGAGATTAAAAACTTTTGTTTTCATCTGATAGACAAGAAGGTTCTGTATAAGTCCTCATAGACTACTTCGAAGAAGTCCATGTTCGCCTTTAATGACAGAATTTATTCTGCTCGGAGAAATTTACAAAATGCGTGCAACGGTTTTTGGCAGAAATTTCATCCCAGGCTCTCACTAAGTCTCCTTTAGCGAATCTAATGGCCTGGCTTTGGAAGAGCGGAGCTTTTGCTTACACATAGAAAAGGCGGAGAAGTTGTGGATTTAAGATTGTTCCGGAAGGCCAAAATTGTTTGTTCGTATGTGGCAAATATGAAGTGTAATGGACTGCGAAAAAAACCATTTTTTGGTCTATTTCATTCCAGGTTTCGAAGATGTTCGTCTTCTCCATATTCTTTTGTCTCGTTGTGCTTGTTCCCGACTTCGGTTCTCAATAAAACATGGTCAAGCTTGAAGGTTTATCAAAGGCATTCGCCATGGCAACAAAAATCGCAATCTTTCGAAATCTTGAAAAAGCATTGAAAGCAAACTCTGAAGGGCTGTGGCACTTTCTTGGATCAAAGGAAATTCTATAGACGCTTTTGAGAATTTTCAGCATGACTAGATACCAATTTACAGCGAAAAGAAGGAATTGAATTTGTGTAAAATCCATCGTTTGGACACTGGAAAAAATGACATTTGGCCCTCTTGCTGGTTTTTCTTGAACCAACAAACACACTTTTCTGTCTGCCTGAAAGGAAAAAGTCTGCTCTTCAAAACCCATGTCATTTGACTTGCCAAAAAGAAACCCGTTGAGAGCTTGGGAGCAGAAACCATCGCGCGCAAATCGAAGAATTTTTGGAAGAGGTTTGAAGGAGAAAAAACGATTTAAAAAAAGCAGGGACAAATATCTTGAACATTAGTTCAAAGTTCTTATGCAGAATTCTCTTCTCTATTAGGTGAGGACAAAAGCTTCTGATTTCATTCAGTCTTTGCAAAGTTATAATATTTTTTTGTGTCACACTTCATGTGGACCACCCTGTAATGGCCGATTTTCCAAGCCTTTTTTCAGAGCAATTTTTTTCCATTAATACCTCTCCTTTACAATAGAAGTAGTGTAAATTCGAGGAGCTGTTTTCATGCTCTATCTAATGGTTTTTGAAAAGGGCTTTCATCCTCATCTGTTATGAAGTTACTGAGCTTCGAATAATCGCATCCAAATGCAGAATTTCATCGCATTCACTTTTCTGGCCAGAATTCAAGCATGTATCAGTGGCATTTCTTTGATAATTTTACTATTATATGTAATAAGAATTGTCTACATTATGCATAATTAACTGTATTCTTTGAAGTTATCCAGACTGAGATATCGGCGTCTAAACATGGGTAGCTGTTGCGGTCATTTTATGATCCATATTTTTCTTTTGAAGAAGTCAATCGCCGAAGCTTTGCTCAATTCTGTAAGCGTAGAGCAGGGACATCCTATTAGCAGTTTTCGCAAAAACATCCAGCTGTTCAGTACGTAGAAATTCAGAAGATTCTATATTTGGAACTTTGAGGCACACTGAGAAAATGTTGAAAAAACTGAGAAATTTTAAATCTTTCTCGCAAACTTTTTTGTCCAAATTTTTATTATTGCATTTGTACTACTGCCTTGCGGCTACAAGATAGGCCACTTGTCATTCATACTAACGGAAGATTGTATAACAGCTATATTCAAACGATTATCAGCGGCACTCAAGGCTGCGAGAGATCAAATTTATCCTGGACGAAGTTTCACTGCTAGTGTCCACCAGGTGGCGAAACGGTTCTAGAAAGCATGAAACCAAGAAATTAGAGACTAGTCAAAAATGATGATGGAAAGGGAACGACAAAGTATAAATCAAGGAAATGATGCAGAACGGACTGCAAAGTTCTTACAAGTTACTTCTTGAGTAAATATAATAGCTCGCAAGAATTTTGGGTCTCATCTCAAAAAAAGGCTCGGACTCACAATTTTTGACGCATCCCCTCCCTCGGAAAGGAAATCTTGGGAATGCCACTAGCGTACAGCGATAGCATCAGTTGTACGCAACGTCCACGTTAAGTCAAGGCTTTCGAGCTTCCGGCAGCATACGATAGTAGGGCACCCAATCAAGCCACTGCCCAAGTAGCAGCGCAAAATGTCGATCCTGAATCGAGAAAATGCTCAAGAGCAAGGAAGAAAGCGAGAAAGCTTCGGCGGCAACGTCTTCAGTAATGCCCGCCATCTATGCTCGTCCGTCCAATCGCCGTCCGGGGACCCGCCTGATGGCCCTCCGGAACGGAGATTATCGGGTGACGCCAATTCTCGACTTCATAATCGATCATAGACTTTAGAAGGCGACGGACGATGAAAACATATAAGTCGAGAGCCTGCGGGACGGTGTATATAAGCTAGAGAGAGACCGTCACGCATACTAACTGGCCAAGCATGCGTAAAGATTTCGCAAAAAATCCGAAACAAACGTGCATTCATCGCACATCAAAAACTGTAATACGGCGAGGAAAAATGACAAGTATACAGAATAGCAAAAAGACGAGAGTTCGCAAAAGAATAAAGCACTTCGCCTTCGTTTTCGATCAATAATCTTTTCTTACGTTTTCTATTGTGCTCGTGCCCGGCAGTTGTCTCCCGCCTTTGACGTCTCTTTTGCGTTAGCGGTCGAGCGGATCCGCTATCGCTGTACGCTAGTGGCATTCCCAAGATTTCCTTTCCGAGGGAGGGGACGCGTCAAAAATTGTGCGTCCGAGACTTTTTTTGAGATGAGAGACCCAAAATTCTTGCGAGCTTTTTTTTATTTACTCAAGAAGTAACTTGTAAGAATTTTGCAGTCCGTTCTGCAACATTTTCCTGATTTGTACTTTGTCGTTACCTTTCCATCATCATTTTTTGATTAGTCTCCAATTTCTTGGCTTCATGCTTCCTCTTCGTGTTCGCCACCTAGTGGACACTAGCCGTGAAACTTGGTCCAGAATAGATTTGTTCTCTCGCAACCTTGAGTGCTGCTGATAAGCTTGCTTGAATATATCGCTGTTATACAATCTTCCCTATGTAAGTCCTGGTTTTCTCCGCCTCTTCTCGTATGCAACTTACAACGAATACTACTGTGCTTCTAAATTACGCTGTTGGTAGCTCAGAGGTGTATGTGCGTTTGTTGATCGCCACTCACATGGGTGAGATGGTCTCACTCCTTAAAGGCAGTAGGTCGGCACAATGAGACCCTTGGCAAGACAAGGTCACAGTGTAGGAGCCCCCATAATGGCCTATGGGCCAAAGTTCGATCTTTCTCTGCCACTTCTAACCCCCGAAATTTCAAAGCGAAAGCAGCGCTCATCTCGTGTCCTCCCGAACCCGCCCACCCCATGGACGAGTGAACGGAAGCCCGTCATGGCGAAGACGCAGAGTCGTTGCGAGACCTCATGCTTATAGCATTGCGGCTGGCGCTCTGACCGCGGAAGTCACTCGTCCATGGGGTGGGCGGGTTCGGAGAGGACAGGAGATAAGCGCTGCTTTCGCTTTGAAATTTCGGGGGTTTGAAGTGGCAGAGAGATCGAACTTTGGCCCATAGGTTCCATTACGGGGCAACTACCCTGTGACCTTGTCTTGCCACGGGTCTCATTCTGCCGACCCACTGCCTTTAAAGGTGACGTCCGGGCAGATACGAAAATGTGGAGTACAGGGGCGCCCGTCCCGGTAAGGCCTTGCCTAGTTGGCAATGCAGTTTGCTTCAGAAGCAAGAAATCCACTTCAGAAGTGGCGACCGGAACCCTCGGCGACCGGGACGAGTTAGTTCGATAAGCCAGAGTGCGCATACCGCACACAGTCAAGACGTAGGGTCCCACAAAGACTCTGCGTCTTAACCTTGGCGCAGGCGACAAAAATCAAATCAAGAGCTTTTGGAAGAGCCCGTTTTCCGTCTTCGTGCCCTCCAAGCTGCATTTTCTCAGCGGTCACCATCTTCATTACATGTTCCACACCCTGGTTTCTATGACATCGCATTACTTTTCTTCCACATGCCCACTAAGATTTCGCCCCCTAGCAGGAGTGTCAATTGTTGTATTGAGTTGATATTATCGAGCTCCTGCGTGAGGCTTACGTACGTAGGAAATTAGTGTCTGTCCTTATGTTTATGAGGATATTTCTTATGTAGCAAACGCATCAACATTGTTCAAGCATTCTCAGCTACTATAACTCCATTCTCGGCTTGTTCAACAATTGGGGATTTACCATATAGAATGTCGCGCGACCCCACCGTTTAGCTAATCTTTTGTATGCTGGCTATATCAACTCGTCCTCTTTTTAACGTATCTGCCACCTCGGAACAATTTGACATATTATTATAAGATATTCTGAAGATTTTCAGATTGTTGTATCTGGCAAATTAGCCACTTTAGCAGTTCCCTTTCATCCTGTTAAGAAGAGCTCATTACTCGCGCTTGGTCAGAGTGCGCATCGCTTTCGGCAATGCCTCTTTACTTATAGATGACTAGTTGGCAAACCCGGCTCCGTCCGGCCCTGTCAATAACATATTTGTAATCAGCATGCTCGATTACCCCCTGTGCCAACTCCCAGCCCCGTAGCTCAAATTTTGCAAAAAATCGCCAAGATCGATATCGATCGATAATGAAAAGTAGCCTATGACACGCTCCCCGCCCCGAAGTATATGTGTGCCAAGTTTGGTCCAAATCAGTTCAGAAATAAAAATTTTTATTCCGCACATACGTACAGACATACAGACAGACACTTTAATATAAGATGAGAAGTTCTTGAACTGATGTCAGCCGGTTTATCTCGTGCCCTTATTTATAAGGAAAGCATGACGCTGATTATGAAGCTTTGACGCAAAAACCCTGCTCAGAATGGATCGCATACGTAACGACGCGCAGAAGAGACAGATATCCTCTAACTACATCTGTTGATTTCCAGCCCACACTGAGTTACAAATGGATGTTTTTTGCCGACCTTTAATGACTCTCATGATTTGCGTTCTCTACACAGCGCGTGACGCAACCTCGAAAACTTGTTTGCACTTTGAGTTTTTACGAAATATTAGGAAATTGTGATTACTTACAAACACAAACAAGTGGTTTGCACAACTTTGCAACTTATAGCCCCAAGAAGTTTGCGGTCCATTCTTGGGATAAGGGGCAGAAAGAAAGGCTTGGGCGCTGCAGCACGGTTCACTCGTTCACTGCGACCATCCACTTCTGGTAGCTATGCATTCCGGTATGCATTGGTATTTTATGTTACTGATTCGAGAAACAATAGATATTGTTTAGAACAAATATGTTTGGCAAAAGTATTATACTACAAATGTCCTATATGAGAACGAGATTTAAAAGTTATTTCATTGTTCATTCTGTTCTGAACTCATTCACCATCCAAGATTTCCCCGAGTCTGCAGCCCTTTGAGTTTACGAAATCACTACTGTGCAAATTCGAGATTGCAATTTGGAAGCAGTAAGTGTTTCTGTGCAGCAAACCATCATGAGACCAATCATTGCATGTCGTCAGTCTATCACTTATGATTGAAGTCTGGTTTAAACTTTCTTTTATTAATGCTACAATATCAGAATGATTCACAGGTTTCCGCAGTAGAGAAATGAACGAAGAACACTTTGATATCACAAAGGATTGATAGAATACTAGTAGTTTATCACAAAGAAGTATGCGAGAGTCTGCGAATTTCACCCGTGTACGGATCCCTAACATAACGCATGGGAAGCGAAGAGCTGAAAAATGATTTTTTTTAGTTATGAAAAGAAGGGTAGCTGTGTGAGATGCAGAAACAAAGTGTCTTGTGCTGTAACAGATAATAATGTAATTATATTGGGCTGCAACAGAATTGATGCAAGTTTTTTACACCTCTATTTCAAAGTGCTGGTTTTGAAGATTCCATTGCCTCAGAAAGCTCTGCATATCATCTGAAAGCACTTTTTTTTCTAGTTTTTTAGGCATACTTTCGTTTCGAGAAAAGGGATCCATCTCAGAATTACGTGCTTTCGAGAGGAAGAGACTGAATCTTGCAATTTTTTCTTTTCTTACCCTTTGCTTTGAATTCATCGCAAAAGAAGGATTTTTTGGCGGGCGTGTAGGTGTAATGTTTGTATGTGACTTGTGCTATAAGATGCACATTGAAAAAATTTTTTTAAAAAAGTTTTTGGACTGAGAAGTTTCATTTCAAACCCGAACAAACGCTGCTATTATTCTGTGATGTATAAAAATTCTAAGTGCGAAGCATTTGCAGAGCTTTTGTTGTATGCGGAAGGAATAGACATAGGATATTTGATAGCAATAAAATCGGAAGCTGCTATTCTTTTCGGCGGCGAGGAAATTAAAAAAAAAACAGCAAAAAAAACATTATCCTCTTTCCAGCAATTGGGAAGAACGGGACAGTTTTTTTTTGCAATATTTTCTAACGAAAATTTTTCTCTCAAAATTCAAGCTTAACGCTGCTGCACAAACGAGTATGGTCTACTTAATGTTTACATCATTCTACTGCATGGTGTAGTGAGTTACGATCTCTCAAATTAAAGGTTTTCCAAGAAAACTTTTGGCAGTATATTCGGACTATAGAATCTTTTTCAGTGAAGCTACAACGGCATAGTAGTGCACATTAAATTGCCAACGCTCCGCTAATTGAAGTTTCTATTGAGAACGCATTGTGTATTTCTGTAAAAAGTTGTAGCAAACCTAACTCATGATTCGAACATCTACAATTAATTCTGTTACAACCTAATAAAGTACCATAATTTCACGATTACAAGACGCATCTGTTTTTTTCTAAACTCGCAGCTTGAACATACTAAAAAGTTTCGCGACCGAAGGATCCTATAATCCTGCTTCTTACCTAACAAAATTTTTGGGAGATCATCTATTAGGTTGGAAACTAAGTTTTGCAACTGTTCTCATAACTACCCTCTCACTCAGCATGGCGCACTCAAATTTTGCCACTGCATTGGATATTACGTAAGCTACAAGCGCAGCTGCTGTCCTATCAAATTCGGACGTCGCAGTGAGGGTTACGGTAGGTGCATGGTATGAAGCGGAAAAATTCAAAGTTTGACGGATTTGGCTGAAGCTTGGCATAAGGGGGTTATCCGACATGCTAATCACGAAAACGGTAGTGAAATTGCGTGATAAAGGCTTTTTCATAGGATTACTGTAGGTGTACGATATGGGGTCTCACCCTAAACAAGGAAGGAGGCGTTGATTCAACAAATGAATGTAATATTCGCGTTTGGCAGGTCAAATAACCCCACTATGTAAAGTCTCGGCGGAATTTGAGCTTCGGACTCTTTAGTCATTGACAGTCGTCCCCAGCAGCTCTTGCGTACATCGACTCGTTCGACTTTATGAAAACGCCAGATCTCGAAATGCCCCTGAATTTTGTTTCTTTCTTACTAGGCCAAAGGAGTCAACCTCCAGCAATAATTTATAGACGAATCCGGATTACTGCGCATGGTCTAGGCTGCCAAAGGCTTCAATTTATCTTCAAACCCCAAAAATTCACAAATTTCACTAGTTTTTGAAAAACGCCTGAAACTTTCCTTTTTCGTGTTCAAAATTTAGACAATTTGTGCTCACTTGTAGCTCACATTGCCTTCTACATAATGCCAAAGTTTGAGTGCGTCATATCGAAAGAGAGCGGAGTTATAAAAAAAGTTGCAAAACTTAGTTTCCAGCCTAATATTTCGCGAGGCACAGTGGTGCGACCGACCTGCTTGCTTAAAACAAAGAAAGTTCCTGTACTCGTAAAATTAGGGTAGTAATGAGTTATCTAAAGAGATAGGTTCATTCGTTTAGAGAAACCAGGTGTGTTAGGTTGTCCCTTAGGTTTTTTCGACTGCCTTTCTGAAACCATAATTTACTCTACATTCTTGATAGAATTCGAGATTTCCTATAGTGTAAAGGAAGTTCTACAAATGAATTGCAAGATTTCATCCCAGTTCGATCCGCGTCAAGTGCGAAGCCAACACCTAATGAGTTTCAAATGCTCGAAAATAGAAAAAGGCCCTCCAGTTCTCGCGCATATTCTCCGCATCAGGTCGGTCATACTTACAACTGCTGCATCTCTTCAAGTGCTCAGTGAAATCGAGAAAAATAAAATGGGCATGTTTTTGACAAAGCAATGCTAAGCTGTTCTCATTAAGACAATTCTATACTGAAGATTATGGATATATGACCACAAGCTCCCAGCCTTTGGCATTCTCTCACTTAAAATATTGAATTTAGCATGAAAACCAAGAAAACGCCATAATACCCCTGTTTTTTGTGATGTTTTCCCGATTTCTAGCCATGGGAAAAAATGCAGCAAATGTATATATAATGTCTGATATGAAGAACATATGCGCGATTAGCTTGAAGATCTTTAGATTTTGGACGAAGATCTAATCAGGCAAGTGAAAATAGGTCGCACTTTGGCTTATCACATTGTTAATCTTTTTGTCAACGTATGAAAATCAACCTGTAGGGCTCGCTTGGCTAGCGAATGGGCTTACTTTTGAAAAAAGTGAATAGTAAGCATTTTTATCAACATGAAAAATTTATGACAGCCTAAGAGCTACTATGCGTATAGCCGCATACTCTAGTTTCGTGGCTCAGTTTCTGCAGTTATAGTGGACGTTATGACTCACTTCGTAGATGAATACTCACACCTCGTATAAGCTCGTGGCTGTGACTCCTGAACTTAGCAAATGATTATGTGGAAATTTCGCATGAATGTCAACTTACGTGCTCATTGATGCTCGTATGAGAAACAATCTTTATCGGGATTTGTCTCGCTCGGTGCGGACCGTGTGAGCAAGAATGACGATCGCTATGAGTCGATGAAGTTTTGATTGGGATTTGCCTAGTTCGGTGCCGACCATACGAAGAAGAACGGTCGCTCAGTGAACGGCGGGTACCTTTCCGTCTAACTCGTCGGCTTGTGTGCCGTCTTCTTCGTCGACTTTTTCTTTTTGAGCTACTGAATGAGGTAAGGAAAGGATAGAAGGTGGTGAATGTTATAGAAAATTCTATCTACAAACTACAAACATAGTGACTATTATTCAAGATCAAACGAAATTTTTGTCTTCATCGTTTTTTTCTTAAACTGACGATAAGTAACGGAACTGTGCTGACCATACGTAAATATCATGACTTATACCAGCGGCTAATGATGTTTACGCGTTTTTGTGTCTGTGTGTGTCCGTCTATTAGGAATGTGGAGCAGGTTCTAGCCAAGGTCTTGAGGTGGAGTTTTGGTCATAGCACCCCATCATTATGTAGGTCCATGCGCAAAACTAAACCGATCCCATATGTAAAAGCTTGATAAACTATGCGTTGAATAAATCTCTAATGTTCAAACCTACAAAATGGTTCTTTATTCAGACTATTTGCAAGATTATGGATTAACTTAGCATGTGTATCTTCAAGCCAATGATTTCTGCACAAAAGACAATCAATAATCATTTTGTTCGGCGAGAAAGGCCACAAAGAATGATTGCGTAGTCGTCGATTTGTAAAGATTGTACCTAGGAAATTGGAAAGATTTCTGCTCAGGAATGTAGCCGCGGTAATCATAGTCATCATGGCAATATCAAACCATAGCAGATTGGGAGACCTAATCAAATTTGCGTTTATCCTTTGGCACAGAGGTTTCCTCTTTCCGAAGCCACCGATCTTACAAGGAAAAGCATTTGGAATGAGTAGTTGCTCATAGAATATCCATAATAGCCGTTATTTCGCGGTGAGCTTCAAGGCCACTATCTTGCAAGGACGAAGAAGACCCAGGTAGTACAATCAGTGCGAGCTTCTGCAGTGCAGAGGTAAAGCACTGGATGCGTAGGTCGGTAGCATAATTCAACAATCTTGCCCAACGCCCGGCAATTATGTTTTGTCATTGCGTAATCAAGTGCTGCTTTGAACTTAAATAGGCAGTGCCTGGATAGAAACTCACCTGCTATATCGTCCCCTTACCTCGGGCATTTGCTACGACAAAGCCAAAAGCGAGAAAATTCTTACTTGATAGAAAAATCTGTGACGTATCTAGTACAAAACCTAAGAATAGTTCAAAATTCTGAAAATACTACAAGGCTTGCGCTTAGTAACATATGCTCAAGCTTGCATGGGACCATTCGGAAGATCAAAGAAGCTCTACAAGAAGGCGTTCAAAAGTTTGCACCAAGCTTGATCGCATCGAGATTTAAGTTAAAATAAGAGAAAGTCCGAATTCCTGGAAAAACGAAATTAATCGTATCCTTGTTCAAAAACCTTCTGCAAATTCTCCGCTTGTTCACGCATATACTCTCTCCATCGGATACTTATGTATACGTTTGCTGCATTTTTCTGATGGCTTGAAATCGAGAAAAAATAATGAGCTCCATTTTCAAACTTTGCCCGCAGCGGTTCTGGGGGAAGAGGGGGGGGGGGGGGGAGAATGGGTCGCGAAATATTAGAAATTTACTTAGGTGAGTTATAAAGATGTGCAAGTGAATTGTTTATTCTTGTAAACACAGAAGTTTTTAAAAATTTCTAAAAATTCAAATTCAAAAATCTGGAAGAAGGAAGCGTGGCTGACGCCTTTTTTGGGGTAGGGGACCAGCAAATATTATGAGAAGCATCCCTAAAAATTTTTCGGAGCGCGTGGCTGACGCCACGCACCTTCAACTGAAAAGTTTGCCCCCCCCCCCCGGACAGAAATCTTGGAATTCCTGGAACCGCCACTGGTGACTATATAGCTTACTCACTCAGAAAAATCGCCACAGATTTGCACCCTTGCAGGTGCCGTAGTTCTTGAGAAAAACCATTCTGAAGGTTTTTGAACATGAAAGACAGCCTAATATAAGGTCACAGAAAAAGAAGCTTTCAAAAATGAAGTCTCTAATTCTGTGATTTTGTGTTTGATGCTGGAGAATCGTGGAGAGTCGCTAGCCTGAAAAATGTGTAAAAATCTCTTTTATAGCAGCTCATGCGTTAATTTTTCAGCCTTTAATCTCATATAGAAATGCAAAAACAAAAACTTCGCGGAAAGTGTCATTTTATAAGAAAAAACGCCTTATCCCTGCAGTTTATTCACATGAACAGTTTGGAACCAGAACAGATTTGGTTCCTATCTAGAAAAATGTGACGATATTTGGAGCGTCAAACAGTGTCCTCGCCGAAAAGGTTCACTAATGAGGGAATATTGGGTAAAATGATAATTTTCGCAAACTATTATGCGCTACTAAGCAAGATTGAAGTCTGCCACAGTAACATATGGACTTTTGCTCCGTGACCAATTGTTACACTTTTTCGGGCTAGCTATCGACCCTCCAAAATTTTTTCAGCATCACCAAATCAAACTTGAAATGCCATTTTTGAATTCGTTCTCGGTGACTGATTTATGGAATGTTACGCTTGTATATCCATTATGAAGCGCAAACCTACTATTTTTAGAATACTGACCATGAGCTGAACTTAGGTCTAATTTTTGTAAAGTTCTGAATTCCTCTGAATTACGCAAGAACTCCCTCGCCAACCTAGCGCTTTTCGCGCATTGTAGAAGAAATTTATTGTAAGTAACATTTTAAACTTATTAAGAGTCCGGGTGAGATCGGAGCCACCATCTACTATTATGAGTTGGTCAAGAGAGGTGCTTACAACCTAGAGGCTATTTCTCTCGGTTGTAAGCATAAGCAATTCCCCGGATGACTTCGCTTTTGGTTTTATCTTCATGGCTAGGAAATGGCATGGCCGAAAGCGTCTGATATCACATAATTTCAAAATTCCAGAAACCCAAACTTGCATAGACAGAGCTTTCAAAGAGATTGCAGAAATTCACAAATCTTTTGCGATTTCCGTGAGGTAAATCAGTCTTAATTCCTTAGGCAAGTCTTAGCCAGTTATCATAGAGAGAAAAGGGGTAGAGTGACAACAACACTGCGCTCGAAAACAGCATAACAAGTTGACTTTCCGATTGTCCTTTTCCAGGGTGTGCCTGAAACGCGTAGCGGAAATGTTGCAATGCTGCTTAATCTTAATGGAGGAGTTTTTCAGCTTTCAAAACAAAAGACAAAAGAAGCATTTTCGACACCTGCCCATCTACTCTAAGAAGAACTTGCACAAATTGCCAACGAAAAAGGGAGGTGGCGTTTGCACGTCAATATGAAAGAGAAAAGGATCGGCCTGCTTTGATGCACCAAGCTTTATACATGAAGTTCCGTGAATAATGATAATTTTCTTAAAATTGACATTACATTCCGCATAAGGATTACCGGGACAAGAACAACATGGTCGACATAACCTAAGGCCGTATTCATTATTGCTCCTTGAGGTAAAATGACTTGAGGTGGATTATCACTCAAAACCCGTATTCATCAATGTACCTGATATAAATGCTCAAGGTCAAATCAACCTTGAAAATGATTTCATGTGGAATGGATGATATCTTGAGGTGAATTCTACCTCAAGGTAGCTTTATCAGCGATAAATCCGTACTCATCAATCTTGATACCTTTATCTCAAGATACATTCACAATAGAAACTTTTACCCTAGCAAAAGCAAGGTTAGGAGCGATACCTTTGAAAATCTATAACGTTTCAGAGGCTGATTTTTCACATGACAAAACTGAACCCATTGCAGCAATTTTGCCTGAATTCGTTGAGATTAGCTAGAGTTATAGACATGTAAAGAAATCGGTACTACACTTCTCTCTAATCCTATGGATATGTTGTGAGTGTTTCAAAACTCCTGTGAAACTGATGTACCGAATCAGAAAAAGTCAAGCACATCCTTTATTTGCTCCAACAGTGTTTTGAGCATCATAGATCCTATCAAGCAGTATTTTGAGCATAGCACAGAAACAACAAGCTGAAAATTTTATACCCCGAAAACAATCGCTTTGCAAGCTCTATGTTCAAGAAAAGCCAGTGTTGACGTTTGTGTAGCGCAATTCTTCAGCCTTGTTTAGTTACTCGACTCAAATCTAACTGAAGTAGGCATCAGGTAGGCATCGCAGCAGGGAATTTTGTAATTTGTACTTAGAAGCATATATTTTCTCGAATAGAGTCTTAAAATCCAGAGTTGTTGAATATGTGGACTCTATCCTCTCTAGTTCACCAACTGTAGCCTTTCACACTCTAAAGACATAAGTATCTCGCGTAATTTTCATGCAAATATGAAAAAAAGCAATTTACCGCAAGTAGGTCATGCCCTTCTCTGAGAAGACATCAGTGTTTATCATGCTGACACAGGTATTTTTAACATCGAGAGATAAATTTTGATGAATACGAAATTATGGTAAATTGAAGTAGCTTCTCAAGGCAACTTATATTGCAGTAAGGTTCATTCTAATCTCACCATTGCAGCCGAAACAGCTAGAAAGTTACGTGCCATAAACTCATACATTTTTCAAATCTCAGACCCTGAGAGCGCACGAACGCGGATTTTCAGTAAATGAAGAACTTTGGTGCAACCGTAATGTCACCTACCCGCGCTGTTTGATCCAGTAGCATTAGAATACATAAAGCGCGCAGAGATCTCCAATTCAATTCGGCTGAAGGCCCTAAGTTTACTGCAACCGCCTATTCCTCGGCTAGCTAGCCCACAGAAAGTGTGGAACGCCGGCAGTAGCAATTAAGAGCCACGGCTCGCCCACTCCCAGTGTCTGAGACGGCACGGTGGAACACGGTGGAACACACGCAGAACATTGCACTCGCATAGCGGTGGAGGGCTACAATACCGCTCACATTTTTTGAAAAATAGACGCGAATGTATGGACATGTATGGACATGTACGGACATGTCCATACATGTATGGACATGTAGCGACCAACACTTCTATCTCCTTTGGAAAGAAGTCTGAGCCTATTTTTTAGCGCACAATAATCTACAAGAACAGTATTATCGAAAAGTACTTAGTAAAATCTTCTATGTTGGATAGGCGTTGCTTCACATATTCGCGAAAGGACCTCCGCAGTACATATTGAAAAAACTGAAAACGGAATATCGAAGACATCGTACCCCCACTTCCAATAAATTTGAAGATTCTCCGCGCCGAGCTGAATCGAATGGTGGCTTTGGATTCAGGATTCGTCCACTCTGAAGCGAAATATGGCCACGCGACGGTGATGTCCATACATGTATTGACATGTATGACATGTATGGACATGTCCGTACATGTCCATGCATGTCCATACATTCGCGTCTATTTTTCAAAAATGTGAGCGGTATTGTATATGTCGCCGGATGTGGAAGGATCCCGCGCGATTTCTCGCAGGAACGCAACTCCGTGCATATGCAAAGGTGGGTTTTTGTTGCAAATGACCGCGAGCCGCCCATTCTCGACGACATAGTCCTCTACCCATCGCATAGGTGTCTTGACATGTGGAAGTTGACTTTAGATATAGACAGTTCGTTTCAATAGATCAGGCAGACGTTGCCTCAGTCGCGTGTTCGCAACAGTTGCGGTTTGTTTTGCACGTGCGCTGCACACGCGCGCTGGAGAGATCGCAGAAAATGAGAAGAGTACAGATAAATCGTGACAGATCACTACAGCAAACCGCAGACATGACATTAGATAATGGCAGTGCGGACGGCATTATGTCAATCTCGGCCTGATCCAGATTGCAGACTGTAGTATCTACGATCTGCGATTTGGGATATTTCCACATAGGACCGCTTCGGAAAAAACTACGAAAAACGAGGTTGATATGTCTTTTAAGAGTGTCAAGCTGTGATTACCTAGTGGCTCCCTTCGTCTTTCTCTTCGCTTCTCCAGCGGCGCAACATACGCAAAGCGAGCATTGCTGCGAACGGTCCTAAAATGTATATACACAGAACGAAAGTGGAAGTTTACACACCGCTGAGAATCATGACATGCCCTAAATGAGCGTCACTGTACATCATGCAAGTTAAGGTAGAATTAATCTTGAGGTATTTTGATGAATACGAAACGGCCTTGAGGCAGATTGTACCTTGAGGTATAAACTACCTCAAGGTTCATTTTACCCGAGGTAGCAATGATGAATACGGCCACTGGGGGCGACTCATTGCACTATCTAAAGGGCCGGGCATACTTCACGCGATTTCAGTTGCTACGCGATTTGGCAATTTGCCAGAAGTCTTCAAATTTAACACTATCAAGCTGCATATACATAGTGTGTATAACTTAGGCTAATTGATGAAATGCCCTATCTTCTGTACATTGAAAATTTGTTTACAGTGAGTTATGGACAGTTGAAATATTGCCAAATCGCGTCGCGACTGAAATCGCGTGAAGTATGCCCGGCCCTTAAACAAGATAAAACTACAGAAAAGGTTCGACCTATTGAGTGAATTTTTCTGCGCTGCAAAACATCCTTGACCGGGAGGTACGTCAGCTACTCCTCAAACTATTCCTGCCATATCTATTCCGCTCTCTTGCAAGCCATACGAACAGTGCCTGTCTCAATTTGAAGAAGATTCCATGCACTGATAAGGTAACTTTCTTGTGACCACACGCAATGGCTCCGGAAAAATAGATTTGGAGCGGTAAGGTGGCGGAGGCCATGCTGCAGAAAACACATTAGACCGTCTTTGCTATAATTTTTTTGTCATGAAACAACCTGATAAAACAAAAACATCACTAAAAAATGTTTTTTGTTCTCAATCTTTTTAAATGCATACTGTCATCTTGATGCAAACTCTGACTTAGCCCCTACTCAGGACAATTTGGAGTTTACTTCTGCTGTCGTGCAACAACATATCATAAAAAAATTAGAGCGTATCACGAAAGGTCTCACTACGGATCCAGGTTTGCAAGCCCCAATATATTTGGAGCCGTCGATCAGAGTTTATCAAGGACCGCGCATTGGAACCGTTGTGCGCTTTTGCATGGTCTAAGTGCTAGCAACACCTGCCGGAGAATTTGTTTTAAAACCTTGGATAAACTTGCTCTGAGAAGTTTGATAGACACACACAGCTCAAACCACAATAATGTTCCCTTATACGTTACGTTTTGATAAATCATGATGTAACCATACCTTCTAGTCTTGCTTCGTGATTTTCTTTTGGAGCTTCTGCTGTGATGCGAGGCGGGTCGCTCAATACCGCAAGTGCATGGCAATTCAACGCCTTCTGAAAAGCAGGCTAACTCACAAAAAAGAAGATACACCGCTAACCTATGTCTTGCGCGACTTGCGACTTGTACACATGAAAGTGATGTAGAAGGCACAACAGCTCAAGAAACTAAAAACCGCTGCTTACTGCTTATATCCAAAGTATCTTGACAAGAATGTTAATTTCTTACCGCTATGACAACTGTTGTCGCAGCTACTCTCTCCACGGGTATATTTCCTTCGTCTTCTTTATCACTTATCAAAGCCAACAGAATTATCATGATAACTATTACCAGTGCATCGACTAACGCACAAATGAGCACCATTCCTTCAAAATATTTTTTTATTTTGTCAACAGTCAAACACTGACATTTTTGCTATCCATTAGAACTTTGACATAGGCAACTATAACGTGAAGTTGCTTCAATTAGTTTTTCTGAGACAGTGCTGTTGGAAACATGCTACATAATTCTTACGTAGCGCGACGAATTCCACCTCCTTAGTTTGGTATAGAATATGCTAACCGGCCGCTCTCTACCGCAACGCGGTAGGTTCGGCTGGTATTCGGTAGCTTCGCTGCCTTATAAATTACTAGCCGGCGGTCCCGGTTTCACTCGGGACTCCAGTTTAGCTAAGAAGAAATTACTTATACTTATGCTTTTGAGCTTCTTCTGCGCAAGAAGGGCTTTGAAAAGAATTGCCCGCATCTTTCCAACATTGAGATTAAAATGAGCTTTACCATCCCCTGACTACATGATCAGGGCAAAATGATTGGTTTGAGCATGTTAAGCCTCATTTTCCCAGATGTAAGTAAACAAATCAACAAATCAATAGAAGGATCTAGTAAATCGCCGCGAAAAGTAGTCTATGTTCTGCGCCGGGGTCCAAAACATAAGTGTGCAAAGTTTCAGCTCATTTAGTCCACTCAGAAAGATTTGTATAAAAAACATACTTATTAACAGACAAACACACTTTGAGTTTTATATATATAGAGATTACATTTTACATTACATTACATTTTACTCTACGTTACGGAAATGTGAAAATGTGCAGGAAACTTGCCATGCACGAATCGCTTCGATTCATGACCCATGCAAAAATTAATGACCCGTGCAATGTGCACAATCGCACCCTAGGATCAAAGTTGCACGTGAGCAACAGTAACAACAACATCGCCTACTGCATCAAACTTCTTGAAGCAAATTCTAAGGTAAAAGCGATGTTAGAAATTGGAGCACAACGGAGCCCGTATCACAACAAAGTTGATTTTGAGTAAAGTACTTGTTCTGAAATTGAATGCGTGAGAGCGAGGAAAAGTTTTAGCGCGGGCATAGGAACTTTGAAGACCGGCCATTCTCAATTTTGTTCTGCTTCTTGCAAGTAAATCTGATCTCTCTTTGCTTTTGGTTTGGACACCCTCAAGACGTCTGATATTCGTTTACTGCGCCGTTAGAAATAGCCACTTCTTATCAGGCAGTTGATCCTAGCATGTTGTATTTGCAAAAAGCGCTTGGTGATGGGTCTAGCGGGGCCTGCATGATCACGAGAGTCGGACGTGCGTACGGCCATTGCGTCCGATGTCACGAAGGAAGGTGCCAGACTTATCCTGTTCAACTGGTTCATCCGGTTCACTTATTCGCTACTGGTCAAATTAATGCACTGACCGATAGCAGAGGGGTGAATCGAATGAGTCCAGGGTATATCTGGCACCTGAATTGTGGGATGGTCATCGGACATGCACGGCGCAATGGCCGTACGCACGTCCGACTCTCGCGGTCATGCAGGCCCCTATAGATTTAAGTTTTGTCTTGTGATTTCTGAACCAGGGCTTGGCGCAGGCAGCTGACGAGGCAGGCTCGTTATCGCTTTGGGGGTAAACAGCTTTGGATATTTTTTCCATTTTTCCGGGCACAGCCCCGAAAAAAAAGCATACGTTATCTTAGTACGGCGTCTATGAAAAAATCGCTGACCGCTTCGTGTAAAATCGAGGTTTCAAAAAAGGTAAAATCTAAATCTTTGTTCACGCAAGGTACACAGTTCAATCGTTACGCACACACGGTGTTCAGAAAGTTGAGATAAAAATATCAGAGAGAGTGTCTTTGTTTTGGCTGATTACAACTCAAAAAATTCATGAGAACAGAAATTAAGAATTATAATATTTTGAATAAGATCTAGACTTGAGTGATTGAGCATGCTTGCAGATTGCTTATATATTAGGTTGGTCCGAAAGTTCTGTCCCACCATTTTCAAAAAATCATAACTTCCTCCTATCATGATGTTTCTGCATGGATAAAACCTTGTTGAAAAGAGCCATTCATGCACTTTCTAAGACTCTCTTGGCTGCTACTATTAAGCTCGCAATGCAGAGATAAAATTGGAAAAAGGAAATTACTTCAAGTTCGGAATTTTTAAGTAGCCCCGTTAAAAAATCCAAAACCGTGCCATAAAATCCAAAACAACTATTATCCTAGGTTTTCTGATCTCCTCTTTCTATATGAGCAAAGCTCGCGCTAATCGAGCCCTTTCTAGAAAGGTTATGATTTTCGAGAAAAAATGCCAAAAAATCAATTCCTCAAGGAAACTGATTTTTTGGCATTTTTTTCAAAAAATCATTACTTTTGAACTAACAGCTCGATCAGCGCGATTTTGCTCAGCTGCAAAGAGGGGGTCAAAAAGTCTAGGACACAGGCTGTTTTGGATTTTATGGCACAGTTTTGGATTTTTTAACGGGCTTGCTTAAAAATTCCGAACTTGAAGTGATTTCTTTTTCCCAATTTTATCTTTGCTATTAGAGCTTGGTAGATAGCAACCAAGGCAGTTTTGGAAAGTGCATGAATTGCTCTTTCCAAAAAGGTTTTATCCATGCAGAAACATCTTGATAGGAGGAAGTTATGATTTTTTGAAAATGGTGGGACAGAACTTTCGGACCAACCTAATATTTTCAGATCTTTATATTTCTACAAAACGGATTGCCCTAACAGGTTTGAAGAGGGAAACGTTGTAGTGACTGAATAGAATGAACAACTTCGTGTACAGTCAAGAAGACAAAAATATGAGAATCACGCAGAGGCTTCAAAAGTCATATAGTGCATTCATTCTTGACTTGCTAATTAGATTAAATCTAAAGGTGGACACTATATAAAATCGGAGTAGAAATACTTGGAGACGCCAACTTCACGCCCATCAACCAAGCAATTTGTCTCCTTCTTGCAAACAAAACTTATCCAATGTCTTTGTTACATAACTCATATTACATATTCTCAGCTTTCATTACCCGCAATCACTACCCTTTTCTATTTTATCTGTCTTTTAAAAAAGTGCAAGATTCTGTGCGAAACAGGGTCAAGCTTGTGATACGACGGTCGCAACAGGGGTTCGTAAGAGGGTATCTAAGGTGGGGGGGAGGGTCGTAAGGAGGGGTAGTTAGGCTAAAATACCCTAAGCTTAAAAGGGAATGAAAAAGCAGATATCAGGTTGTCCTATAAGTTCCGTCCCTTTTGAATTTCGGTTGCAATAAGTCATACACTTCTCGTTTCTGAATAGGACCCAAGATATCTTTCGATAGAGCAAAGCAAGCCCTACACAAGACGGCAGTCTTGCTTTTGCACTAGTCTTCATACATATCGAGTTTCAAACCTAAACTTACGAACGAAAACTTAAAAGATTCAATTGCCCGAAAAATCGAGAAAAAATTCTAACCCCGTTTAAAAAAATCCTACAAAAATTCTAACTTGCTCGCGCAAACACTATCTATTTAACAAGGAAATGATACTTGGTACCAGCCATTTGGAATGCGATGTATACCATAAGGTACATCTCGAAACGCTGGTTCAAAGTCTATGTTCAAATCTGCGAAACGATCATTTGAAGGCGGTTATTAATTTTTTTTTCGTAGAAAATTTGCGTACTTTTAGGTAGTTAAAATCACCCAATTTGATCTATTTTAGATGTAATGTTGTATTCATTCCTATCTAAATCATATTCAGCATTTGAAGAGGAAAGAAAACTTTTTGTTAGTGATTTTCACCCTCCGCAGTAGCGCAAATCATCCTTGAAAGAATAATTGTAACTCCATCCAGGTTTTCGTTTCGCAGACATTGAAAACAGTAATAGAACCAGCATCAAAAGGCGCATTTTTTGATATATAAACCATTATGAATGGCCGGAGTCGCCAAGTATCCTTCCCTGCTAAGACATTTATATGCGCCGTTGCCGTATTTTTTTCTCGGCTAGAAATCAAGAAAACGAAGATTTTTATGCTTTCGACAAAGCGATGCTGTGATGTCCCTACATAGATAGTTGTATACTATTAGCCTGTAGAAGTATAAATGTAAATTTTCAGCTTCCTACAAGCTTTGGTTCTCGAGAATTATCGAATACAGCTTGCCTTAATAGAGTGTCTTACGTTAAAATCCATATTTCTTGAAAACTAGTACCTGTAGAGAGCTGAAAATTGACATTTGTACTTATACAGGCTAAAATAGTATACAACTATCTATGTAGGGACATCACAGCATCACTTTGGCAAAGGCATAAAAATCTTCGTTTTCTTGATTTCTAGCCGAGGAAAAAATACAGCAACGGCGTACATAAATGTCTTAGATGGATAGTGTACGCGAGCAGGTTAGAATTTTTGTACGATTTTCAAACGGGGTTACGATTTTTTCTCGATTTTTAGGGCATTTGAATCTTTTCAGTTTGCGGTTTAAAAATTGACATGTATCAAAGCTGGTGCAAAAGCAAGACATATGTTTTGTAGAGCTTGCTTTGCTCTATCGAACAGTACCTTGCAACCTATTTGAAAACGGGAAGTGTATGACTTATTAAGGTCGAATCAAAACGGAGGGAACTTATGGGACAAGCTGATAATTAGTTATGTTCTTTACAATAAATCTATAAAAAAAGTGAAAATCAGAATAAAATAATGAAAAATCTGTACAAATTCTCAAAAAAAAAACATTTACAAGAGCTCAAAACACTTTTGAAGAATGTATTACTTGATAAAAATGCTAAATGTACCGATTGCCCTAAAAATCTTGCTTCTGAAGCCTTCCTGAAGTCTTCACACTCGACAAAAGTGAATATCTTTACCAGCTGTGACCATCATGAATTTCTAAATCTTTTTGTAATGTTTTTCACGGGCCCATATGATTTATCTGTACTTTGGAAATGCTCTTCTATATCACTGCAAAATTTGGTGTTATTTTGTCAGCTGTGGATTTTCTTATGATTTTATGTATGGTAGCAAAAAATGGAAAAGGGGGGTCGTATCTGCGCCTCATCTGAATTTCTTCGGATCTATTAAAGCTTGTTAGCTGCAAACTTGCTGTAATACGAGGCCAATCCCTCTACTTTCTATCATAAGAATTTTAGGCTGTTTCATAACTTCTCCGGTGAGATACAAAATTTCAAGCTCAAAAATCCCACTTTTTGCTTTCTAGGATTGCATCTAAATTTGCGAGAGTCGCATCTAGATTTTTCGAGCTTACTGCTCCTCAATGGCTGAAACTTTTTCCATGGTTAGTATGGGCACTATACTACAAAGCCTGTTCATTGCAGCCTCTCAGTCTTTCCCTGCATTTAGTTACGAATTTTCAAATTACCGTACTCATGCACGTTTTTGACATCGTTCTGAATGTCTCTAAGACAGTTTTTTTCGCACGAAAATCTGTGCAAAAGATAGGAAATAGGTCTTTTAGTCGAAAACATATTTTAAGCTTCAAAGATATCGTTTTTTCACCCTTCAAAAAATGGTGTCACGTACGGGGACCAAATTTGCTGGCCAGAAGTATGCTTGAAAATCCAAAAAAAAACTCGCAGAACTCAAAGATTATTGGAGGTGTGTATGAGTGCCAAAGAGGGTGCACGTACCCCTTGGCTCAGAAACTCTGCTCACGAAGCCCCACTGATGTCTCACACAATCGACAAATTCCATATCTTTACCAACGGCGACGTCAATAATTTGTAAATATTAAAGTAAAGCTTAATTATCATTCAGATTGAAATCGATGATCGCTTTGTCAGATAATGTCCTTTCCATTGATATCTTCCCAACCACAATAAGCATAGCCAAATCATCGTGGAATTTCACTACTTACCCAATCTACGCAGAATTATTTGTGAGTTGGTTTTTGAATAGCGAAGTACTTGCATTATTTCCCAATTTGTAAGTAGTTATCTATTTCTGATCTATAATTATGATTGAGGCCCATTGGCAGGCATTTGTTTTGGGATTGACATTCATTTATGCAGGTTACCGCAAAAGAAATTGGGAGGAGTAAGTGGGTGAGGAGGGGGAGGGGGTCGTACGGATAGGTATCTTCAGGAGGGGGGGGGGGGTCGTAGAAGAGGGTCTAGGATCGCATCAACACGCTTGTCCCTGGTGCGAAACTGACAGTTTCCCGCTCCAATATGTTCACTGGAAAATTCAAAATTGTGCCTAGATAGCCAAAAGGTCGTTTACAAAGATAAAATAATTTGAGACCATGTTTAATGGGTTGAAGCGCATTAGTGAGTTAGAACTATGTTCGGAGATTTTCGGGAACGTTTTGCGAGCTGACGTGATAAGCCTTTTTTCTACTTCGTTGGCTTTGTAGCCATCTGGAGAACAGCCTGAGATGGTGTAAAGAACAAGTCATAAGCTTCTTTTTTCACAAAATGTTTTCACACTTTTTGCGTAACTTTGATTTACATCTGAAGCCGAAATAGTTGTTAAGCCGCTTCATAGCCTCTCCTCCCCACCTTAGTAACAACCAAGATCAAGCGTGGGTCGACACACTGGTGGGTCTTATTGAGGAGGCGGGGGTTGGGGGGGGGGGGGGGGAGGGGAGGGTTTGTAATCGACGTGATACATATGTTAGGGATACCATGATGTGTATAGTAAAAGTCACATCACTGAGATATCGATTTGTCATTGACAAAGCATCAAAATGAAGCCTTTGAGTATAATGAGTTTTGTTATTCGCGTGTCAAAAGTCCTGTTCAAATCTTAGCGATTTCTGAGGTTTCCAATGGCCCACAAAAGTTAACTGGTCATTTAAATGCGACCAACTTCATTTTGAAAGTGAGTTGACTGCCTCTTTTTATACTCATTCACTCCTTCTTGACCTACAAAAGATCCCACCTCAGATAGCCGCCAAACTCTGAAATCAAGCCAAGTAAAAATCCCGTTTGTCTCATTTTCGCTTCAATTGTTGCCTTTCAGCAATCTTACTCATACCGAGAAAAACCAGGAGTGGTAGTAATGTGGTTGAAACCAGCGAATGATGTGATGGTTTAATCGTGATTACATCGTGGTAAGCATGATCATCTTCTCACGGCCGTTCAGTTCAATCGGTCATACAAAATTATGAAACATGCAAGTTACTTTCGGAAAACCATACTTGTTTCATGCTTGTTCCATTTTAAACCAAACTATGAATTAATCAGCAGGTTGACACCATTGTTTCCTTATCAGATGGAGTAATGAAAACAGCATTTCATTTCATGAGACGCAGACGTGAAACCACCTTATCATAGTTTAAAATGAAAAAGTACCCCCGACCACTTTTTCGTTTAAAACAATGATGTGTTGGTTTTGCAAGTTAAGAAGAGTGAGGGAGATCATTCTGCAACTTACTATGAGAAAGCTTACTTGTTTACAGCTTAGATAAGGTTATAGGAAGGCGCAAGGCTGGAGACCGAACTGCAGATTTGGTAAAGTGCAATGATTGCCGACAAGCATGAGAATGGTTAGAGTTTCGATCTCCTCCAATGACTTTGCTTTGCAAGATAGCATTTCGAGGTTCCCTATTGGTTAATTCGTGGTTTCGTTGGGAAAATGATGTGAAGCTGCTGGTTAGCTGGTGTCATGAAAACACAGTTAACATGATGGTTTCGACCAAATTATTACCACTCCAGGTTTGAATCACTCGTTTGAAATCCAAGACATCTAAGGTTTCCAATATATATTTTTCACTTACCTCGCAATGTACATAGTTGTGCAGATTTAGCACATACTACCGTAACCTGATGTTTGCTCTGAACGAATTGGAAAAACGACTATATTTTTTCTAGACCAATCGGTATGAGGGGAAACTTCAACTGTGGAGAGAAGGTTCAGCGGTAGGAACCATTAAAAAGAGATGTTTATCCCCTAAAGGTAAATTAATGGGGTATGACGCAATCCTAAAGAGGTGTGGTGGCCACACCTTTGAGGAGTTGTGCCATACCCCCACTAACTTACCTTGAAGAGATTTTTGCCAGACTATATATGGGCCCAGTTTTTGTAGTATTCGAAGTAATTGAGTCTGATTTTTCTTTACTCTTTATAACAACTGCAAATCCCAACCATTTCTCTCCTCATCCTTCCCGCAAACGGTCGGATAGCTTTTAGCTCTGCATCAAGGATAGGATCAAGAAGACAAGGTGGAATAAAGCGTAGCTGGTCCACTGCGTCTATTTGGTCGAGAAGTCATGGACCAAGTTCCCAACGTCACGAGAATGTCACGAGCAAGATTAAATTCTAGTCATCGAAGACGATCGAAGTCGAAGTCGCCCAACTCAAGCCATAAACGGAATCATCGCGGTATTATTTGTGTATAACCGCTGAGTATGGATAAATGTGTGTATGTATGTATGTAAATCCCAACCATTGAAAGCGAAAAATGGGCTAAATGAGATTTTCGCTGGAACCAATTCCATAGTTTGGCGGTTTTGAAGTGAGACTCCTCGCGTGGGCGAAGAAGGAGCAGTGCTTTGTACTAACGATGAGTGCAAAAAAAAGTTAGCTAATTCACCTTTGATACAGAGTTAATCAAGTTCGAAAGTGTCACTGTGACCATGTCACTAGTGGCTATCATTACTTATAATAACGGGCTAAGGATGTTTACGTATTTGTGTTGTGTGTGTGTGTGTGTGTGTGTGTGTGTGTGTGTGTGTGTGTGTGTGTGTGTGTGTGTGTGTGTGTGTGTGTGTGTGTGTGTGTGTGTGTGTGTCTATTACGAAATTCGTGGAGCAGTTTTCAGCCAACGTCCTGAGCTCAAATTTTGCATAGCGCATGCTACCTTCATGAAAGCCCAATGTGCAAAAGCACGAGTAGATTCGTTGAGTGGATCCCTCAAAAATTGCGCGCCAAACGGATCCACCTGGCTTCTCTCCCGCAAAATTGAGTCCGTATCACCACTTTTTGCAAAGTCGTGGATGTGTTTGGTAAGCAAATGCACAATCGATGGACTGTAGCCCGAAAAGTGGTCAAAAGTTTACTACTTGACGAAAACGGCGCCAAAAAGAGATTGGTTGCGTAAATGGTCAATTTGCCGAGGTTCTAGCCAAGCATTTGAGAAGATTTTCGCACAGAGATGTAGAGCACGGTCACTATTGCCTTTATGGCGAACTACCAAGCCATGACAAATTCAGAAACCTATTCAAATTTGCGTTTGTCTTCTGGGAAAAGTTTCATCCACACGAAATCATCGATCCCACTGAAAAAGCTTTCTAAATGAGAAGCTGTTTACATTTTATTCGTGGTAGTCGGCATAGCGCGGTGAGTTCCAGTGCCACGATTTTACGAGAATGAGTAAGGGACTCAGATAGTAGAGCCAGTGCGAGCCTCTGCGAAGCAGAGGTGGCGCACTGGTTTCTAATATCATATTAGGACACCTCAGAGTTTGCTAAATGCTAATTACGAATATGCAGCTCAGGCAAGTAAACGATAATGCTGGGGAGGGTGTACGTCGTATCCGGTGGCCGTGTGCCACACCGCTCACTCGACCCTGGATACAACAACAAGTTTCTGAATGGTGCAATGCTGCTCCAAGCTTATACGCGCCAGACATGGCAGGCCGCAAAAGCGAGCTACACGAATATCTTTGTTTCTTTTCAAGATTCTACGTGTTTCTTCAATGCTCCATTCTGTAGTAATTGGCTTGTCAATATATGCACACATGTTCTATTCTGTCTTCCCTTTTTTATGAGTACGCCACAAGACATGGTATTAATGCTGCGAAGTCAAGTAACTTTGTTTTTAAAAATTGCTCTTGTTTAGAACATTGCGAAGCAGCAAAGTTAACATTTGCAAATGGTATTCCAACCTATGTAGTTGATGACTCGTATCCCTACGCTTATCATTCGCTCCTTTTGAGGCTTTTGTCAGGTTTGTACGTGCATGAAATCTACCTGCATAGACCTAAAGTTCAAATCAACAGAAGTTGCAAACTAACTTTGTTTACGTTTTAGAAGCAATTCAATCGTTACGAATGTTGACCCAGCATTTATGATCATAAAACACATCATATATATCAGCGGTGCATCGTAAGTATGCAAGAGCTAAAATTGAAATTACAGTTGTACAGCAACTTTTGAAATGGTCAGAACTTAACCCAGCCATTCCAAAGCTTTATATTATCGGACACGTCTTGAAACGCTAATTTTAATCATATGTTTACTATCTGCCAAGTGACTATCTCGAAGGAGTTATGAGCGTTCAAATACAAGAAATTTATTGAGCTTCGACGAATATATTTCCATCGAAGACAGCCTATGAGCGCGAATTTACAGTGCCTCTTGTTAATTACAGGGAAAAAACACACTCTTTAAAAACCTGAAGAAGTGTTTTCAAAAACGTATTTCGTGGAACATGTGCCACAGAACACTTGGCAAATCGCACAGTTAAACGCTAATTCTTTCCAGACCGTCGCTTGGCAGATAGTAAACATATAATCTGGTCAGCGCTTCAAGACAAGTGCGGTGATATAGTTTTTTTGGTATGGTTGGGTTGCTTTCTGGCCGTTCCCTGCTTGGATTTGATGTTATCGCTTCCAGTCGTTCGTGAAAAACTCCTTAATTAGCTTACCATCAAAGTTTCAAACTTGTATGCTGGGAACTGGCTTATATAAGCAGCTGTCGATGCAGCTGGTTTACGCGATCAACACAAACGTCATACCATTTATTCGGTAGTCTTCCAAAAGCGGAGGCGTTTTGAAGTTTTAAAATCTAATCAGATTTTATTTTATGCTCTTCCTCCTTCCAAACCGCCCATCTCGGTATGTACCCGCTGATGGTTTGGACATGAAATCTGCCTTAGACTGCATTTCACATTCCATTGTCCTTATTATTCGATTTCCCCCACAATGGTCGGCCGCCTCATCGTCGCGTGGGGTGACACTCTCAGGCAATCGCCGGGGGCAGGCGGGCGCCGGAAAATACGCGTTGCTGACATTTCGCATTCCGCTCGCCATATTCCAGGAAAGTAGTCAGCGAGCTTTTGAGAGACCGCCTCTTGATTCTTTTTTGCTCTTATCTTTTGCAGATATATTGCTCAATCTCTAAGGAATCGAGAACTCAGCAAGCGGCATTCCGAAATCCTGATTGCTTTTCAAAAAATTCGCGCGAGAAACCAGCCATCTATTTTTCCGGTGCCCGCTTGCCCCCGGCGATTGTCTGAGTGGGTGTCGAACTGCGATGCACAGCCAAGTGTATACTATGGCAGGGCCTCCCAAGCTGTGAAGAACTTCGACGTTTCCGATTTCGGCCAGATGTCTAGCTAAGAGCCAGCCAAACCAGATCCACCGCCGTCTGGTTTTCTGGTCGCTAGGCGGTTCTCCCCGCTTCACATCCAAACCAGCGATCGCCCCATGGAAATTAAAGGCCTAGTAAGTCTGCTCTTGTAGGGAAAAATTTCATTGCTCTACCAGTTAGAAAAACAGAAAAAAACTCTTACATCGGATCCCACTTACGGCGTCGGGTGGTAGCAAGAAAACGATCTCAGGGTCCTCAGGGCGCCTTTTGGATTGGACAAAACGACACGTCTGCTCGGACGAACGCCATGGAGACTAACTCACGCTCTGCACCTACAACGCCAGGACAATCTCCACAAACGCCGATCTTCACGCTCTTCTCGACGCTGCGGAGCACATCAAGTATCACGCCATCGTTCTGGAGGAGACGAAGCCCAGGAAGAAGTACGTGCGACAGATGAGTGATGGGACGCTCATCATTTGTGGTGAGAAGGTTCCATCACGAATTTTTGGAGGTGCTGGCTTTGTCGTCCACCCATCTATTTCTCTTGTCGATTCGCATGAGATCCTACCACCTCCACTAGTCATCCTACGACTACGACCTCCACGTCAGAAGACCATCAGCATCATCAACTGCTACTCTCCAACATCAGCAGCTGGCCACTCAGAACTAGATGCTTTCTCTACAAAGACGTGGACGAGGTCGTCCGCAACGGAAATTTCTTTTACAAGCTTGTTGTGGACGATTTTGGTGCAAAATTGGGATGCCATTAGGAAAGGAATATAGGATCGGGAAATTTGGATATGGCTCCGCAACGAAAACAGCAACCGTCTTCTTGGGCTCCTCTCCGCCGCACGACTTTTTCATGGAAATTCCATCTTCATGAAGAATGAACATCGCCGGTGGACATGGGAATCGCCCAACGGAACAACTTACGCGGAGATTGACCACATTCTCACCAATCGAAGGTGGAGCTTGCTCGATGTCTCAGTAGTTCCATCCTTCTGCAGTGGCTCCGATCACCGCCTCCTTCGAGCAAAGATACGATTCAGTCGAAGGCTGAAAAAGAAAATCTGTCACAGCGCCGCGAAAAGGAAGGAAGTCGTTTATGACGGTAGCAGGTTAAAAGAGCTCATATGAAATTGTGACTGGCCCATCAAGGAGGACCCAACTTACGAGTACGACCCGCTTTTGAAAGGATTGCGAGCCTGCGGAGAGTGCGCCTCGGTAACTTCTGAGAGGAACTTGGAACGCATTTCGTAAACCACCAAGGAATTGCTCGAAAGAAGAAGGTTTTTGAGGCAGAATCCGAATGCAACCCTCTCGAGCGAATGATAGCCAACACTAGTTGCAGAACAGCTTTGCAGGAGGATCTCAGGAATTAAAGGCAAGCCAAAATACTGGAAGCAGCCGAAGGAAGACGAAGTCTTAAAAAGTGCCAAAGGGACCTCCGTGAATATCACGTACCGCTGGCTGCACTATTGAACGAAGACGGGGCTCCCACTTTTTCCCGATATAAGATGGAATCGATCGCGAAGAACTTCTACACCAACCTCTTCCGCTCATCAACACCAGTGCCAATGCACGTTTTTCCCGCTAGAGAAGTACCACCACGGATTCTACCTGCTAGTGCGCGCACGGCGATTGAAACCATGAAGACGTCCACGGCTCCAGGACCAGATCATCTTTCCGAGTAATTTCTGCGAACCGGAGGACAACGTCTACACGAGATTCTCGCCTCGCACCTGACATCTTACCCTCAGAAGGAGAGGATTCTCGGCCAGTGGAGAACGTCAAGAACCGTCCTTCTCTTCAAGAAGGGTGAACGGGAGGATCTTCGGAACTATCGTCCAATATGCTTGCTGAGTGTGCTGTACAAGCTTTTCACGAAGATTATCCTCGCTCGCATATCAAGGACACTGGATGAAGCCCAACCCCAAGAACAAGCTGGATTTCGCAAAGGATTCAGCTGCACGGACACATTCGAACAGTTTCGAGGGTCATAAGAAGTCTGCCGGGGGCGACTGCCTCTCGTCCTAACCTTCGTCGACTACGAGAAAGCCTTTGACGGCGTCGAAACCAACACCATCCTGTCTGCACTAGTCGATCAAGGAGTGGACCCAGCTTATGTGAGGACGTTAGCCGACTGCTATAAGGACTGGTAAATGCGCTGCAGCTACTCCATCGCCCCCTAACTATTCCGACTGGGAAGGGTTCGTTAAGGCGACGCTATTTCGTCGAACTGTACCGCGGCCTTGCAGTGGGTGATGAAATCACTGGACTGGGACGAGAGAGGCATACGAGTTGATGGGAGATACCTGTCGAACCTTCGTTCTGCGGACGTTCCCTTTTCGAGCAGTATCACTGAAACAGAGATAATGCTGAAGGAACTGAACGAAGTAGGGAAGAAGATCGGATTGCGAATGAATCGGAAGAAGACCCATTCATGAAGAACGCCCTTTGTGAAGATGCAGAAATGGAATTGGAAGGCGCCCCCATCACGGAGACGTCTTCTTACGTGTATCGCGGACGTTGGATGGACATGGAGGACGACGAGGAAAGAACTTAACAGGAGAAGAAGAGCAGCCTGGGCCGCCTTCGGGCCTCTGAAGGAAGCCACTGACCTGACAGACCCGGAGCTTCGTGCCCACCTGTTCTACTTAACCGTTCTTTCGGCGCTCTTTTACGCAGCTGAGACTTGAGACGGCACTGCAGCCACGTTGAAAGCTTGACGGACCACCCACAGAGCGCTCGAGCGCAATCTTTTGAAGATGAGCCGACACAACAACACCTTGTCGGACTTCGCAGTACGGATTCAAGAAGATTTTCCCGTTTTCGTGACCCAGCGGAATACGTTGCGAAAGCGAAGCATAGATGGGCCGGTCACATCATGAGAAGAACAGACAACAGATGGACACTGAGAACATCTGAGTGGATTTCTCGCGAAGCCAAACGTCCCCGAGGAAGACCACAATGAGATGGGCAGGCGCTCGTGTTCGTGGAACGGATGGACCAGCTAAGAAATCAGCTGGATACAATTTTTGCTCCTGGAACTCGTGGACGCAGCCACCGACGACAGCCAAGAAGATCGTGGATGTCCGAAGCGAGGGGCAGGGAACAATGGAAACTTCTGTACGGGCCCGCACGTCACGTGAAAATGGGCCATCCAAGTATCTAAGTAAGTGTTAATTGATTTAATGATCCTCAAACTTCTTTTCGGTTCTTTCTTGCTGTCAGCTGCGTAACACACAGTTGAGAGAAGTGCACACAAATCTGAGTTTTCAAATCTATAAAGCGTCTGTAGCTTCTCTCAAACCGGAGTTTTGTTATGTGTCATTTGTTTTCTGCCGGGTTTGCAAGATGTCTGTAGCCTCTTAAAAAGCCGAGTGTACCCATGCTGCCATCTCTTCAGTTATGATGTGCCCTCATGTAAACGTTTAAATGGAGCTTTCCAAGTAATTATGAAAAAAACCGTATCTACCGGTGAACCACATTGTCTTTCGCTGCATCGAGTTTCCCTCATTAACTGGGTTTCCTCCAGGTTCCACTTATCCTAATCTCATTGACTCATTTGATTCGTTGACTTGACTCTTCCGTATTTCATTATATTATAGACTTCGACAAAGAAGATGTTAAAAACGGATCGGATTTTGGCGACGGAAAACTTATTGCAGTGGTACCATTCAGGCAGGCGCTATACTCCTCGAGGAGTATAGCATGACGACGATCGGTACGCATCAAACACGTGTAAAACCGGCCATTTTTATCGTCGATATTCGCGATTGCCAATCGCTACGACTGGCTATTGCCCGTCGCCGAAATATCGGCAACTGTACTTTACATACCTATTGATCGCAAACAAGTTACTTCGTCAAATCGATGCATATCAAACGTGCGGTCGCCGAAAACTGGCGATCGCCAATCGCTACGATTAGCGATCGCCAGTTTTCGGCGACTATGCGTATTGATTGAAAGTGTGATGAAATTATTGGCGATTGACACGCATAAAAGGCACGGTCGCCAATATTGGCGTTAGCGCTCGCCAATTGTAGCGATCGGCGATCGCTCGTCGCCATGCTATACTTCTCGAGGAGTATAGCGGCTGCCTCAAATCAAGATTTAGCCTACTTCATGAACTTTATGGCTGAGTACTCTTAAAGGAAAGATCTTTACGGTGATTCTACAGTGGGGATGGCAGAATGTACACCGACGAGGATAGAAAGGGTTTGCCATAAAATTTCTTTTTATCTCCCCATTTCGCGTCGGAAATTTATAGGTTGATTCCATGTCAATGTGAAGCAGCGGTGACAACGGTATGCACAGCGGAGGCTTATAAATGGAGGGAGAAGAAGATTTGTTGCTCACTCTACGGGTCGAAACAGTCATCGTCAGGTTGAATACTATCGTGAATGCGAAATCAACGAAACAGAGACATACCTTGCTAAGTATGCACAAACAAAAGACTATTTTCACACAGCAGCAGACAATGATCGATAGATATGACCAATGTGTCGGTGGCATAGATAGCACAAATCGAGACATTGGATGGACATTGGTGTTATGCCAAAATTGCTAAAGTTATCGCTAGCCGTAATCGCAACATAGCTGTTTTCGGGCGTATGCCCTTCTGAACCGCTTCGTTCTAGCGCTAATTACTCTGCCCGGGCAGCGTTAATTACTCCGCCTTTCTTGTAATCTATCGGAGTTTTTAGATATTTCTGAGCATTCCAAAGCAAGCAAACGAGGCACACGATTAATAATAGTGACGATGTTTGAATTATGATGACAAAAAGTTGGAAAAGTTGCAAGTTGTTTATTAGCCTTTCGTGATTTCTTCGCCTTCTCACTTTTCAAAACACCAGTAGTCTGCAGTAAACTGAAGAATTTACTTGAGCCTCCCACGCATAAAATTTTTAGTTTCATGGGAAATCCAAATCTTGTTTAGTTCTTTTTATCATGAGTGCCTTGCAATTCAAACGTCTCTAACGACAGCATAGCTCTCGCCTACCCAAGCGATGTGCAGCGCCGCCGACCAATCAGAGGCGCGCAGTAATCGCTACTAATGCTAGCGGTTCAGAAGGGCCGTCTCTCGTTGCTGGCGCACCCAAATCTTTCGCTTCTCTGCTGCAATCTCTTCTCTGTCTCGCTTGATTTCTTCTATGGCTGTCTCAATAGTTTCCCGCGTTGCAGGATCTGTGGTGGAGTGAGTACTTCTGCCGGAATTTGGCGATGGGACTTCTACCGTGAACACTAAACGTTTAGTCTTAAAAATAACAGGATCACGACTCAAATTTACCTTGGCACTTTTCATTTGACTGCTCTTTTTCAGATTTCCTTCTCTTACAAGACAGCTTCCTTCTTCTTTTCGAGTGTTTCTTCTCCTTTTTGCTAGACATGTTTGATTGTTCTAATAATGTAGTGGCCCAAGCTGCAATGATCTTTTGTAAGCAGTAGCAGAGCAAGTCTACTTCATTGAAACCTCAACGCACTTTGCAAGAATGAAGCTGAAAATGAATCATATCGCTGAGGTGGCGAGCAAAGATTGAAAATGATACCACTCAAGTCACAGTGAGAATGAAATACTTTGGTGCATGTTCTTGCAGTTGCAAAGAGGTTCGCCGTAGGGCAATGCCAGGGCCCGTAGTAAACCCGCCGGGTGTCGTGGCGTAAGGCTCGGAGCTTGCTGTGAGATGTGCATTATCATAAACCAAGGCAGCCACGGCGGCTATTCTTCATAATTGCTGCCGATGCAATCAGTGCGGATCGCCAGAGTAATTGCAGTGTCGCTGATTTCGCGACCTATCGCGACACATAGCCACAATTGCGACATGTCGTGATGAGCTCGCGGATGAAATACTTAGTCCAAGGTGAAGACGCAAAGGCACTGACTAGAGCTCGACTACGCTAACTTCGTACTAGGTCGCAAAAGAACATAGCTCTCTAATGCACGTCAGTGTGCAGTCAATATTAACGGCTGATAAGCGCCCGATTACTCCAGCAGTGTGCCTTTTCCCTTCTAGATACTTCTGCTGCTGCATCCTAAGCAGAGAAGGTAAGTTTATTTTTACTAAAAAGTGTACTAGGCTCATACTTGGCAATATTTCCTCGTGAATAGGCTCTCTTTTTTTATTCTCTTCTGCGTGCCAAAACCCTCAAATTCTCAGTCTTTCCTTTAGATCTGTTCTGAATTTTCACATATTTTTGCTGTATTGCTGTTCGTTAGCCGTGCCCTCTCGTTTCCTTCTGTTTTCAAGAGAAGGGACCGTCTGGCGTTATGGCTAATGGAATAGCACGTTTTTGAACATACTACTTAGTAAATGCTTGATAAAATTTTGATTTTCATTATGCATTTTCAATATTATATGTCTTACTAGCTGATGACCCGGTTTCGCCCGAGACTTTTAGTTCAACCGAGATGCGGTAGGGGAACGAAATCCGCCAGTTTGAAACATCTCTGCGGACTACTAGTCCTGCAACCACAAACAACAATATTTCAAAAGGACCAGTTGCCAGCAAAGGCGGGCTCAAACTGGCGGAGTTCGTTCCCCTACCCACCAAAATGTCATCGGCTCCCAGATTCGTGTAGAGGAGGGTTGCGCACTCCCTTCATTTTCAGGACAAACTTGTTAAACCTCCACGTTTTAGCACTGTATTTCGTACTTCCTCGTTTAGCTTTCCTTAAAACCAGTAAAGTCCGCAGCCCGCCTCCACACGAATCTGGAAGCTGATCATACTTACACTTTCTAACTTCCACAATGCGTAAAAGACGCTTTCAGACGAACCCGCTGCATCCTGTCGACCTTGAGATTAGAATGAACTTTACTACCCCTACTTACATGTTTAATGGAAAATGATTGGTTGGAGCACGTTTGACTTTCATTTTCCCAGATTTAAGTAAACAAATCAATAAATCAATGGAAGGGCCCTGCGAATCGCCTCAAAAAGTAGCCATAAACCACCGCCGTGGTCGAAAACATATGTGTGCGAATTCAGCTCAATCGGTTCAATGGCTGGCGTTTCTGTAACGAACGAACAACTAAACGAACATCCTCACAGACATTGAGTTTTATATATATATAGATTGTTAGTCACTACCAGGAGATTTCGTGATGAAAAACAACTAGCTAGCAAATTGCAAAAGGCGGCATCAGTTGGAGTTTGTACCTTCGACTATTAGCACACTGGCCTATAACATTGCTGTGCTGCTTACGCGTTACACTGGCATACCTTATATATGCAAATTCACCTTATTGCGAAGGTATTAACTATACAATACTCCAATAATTTGCGGATCAAGCCCATTGCCAGGAAAAATGTTCTGCACCAGAGGAATCTGTTGATGACCTTAAAGCCAAGCACTAAATAATTCTCTGTGTTGTACCTCCGTAGCTCTTATTTGTTCCCCTCCCTACCCCTTCCAAGTTCTTTGGCAGTGGAGCTGACTTTAGCAATCATTTCGAAATTCAGTTACCCCCTTCACCTTTTAAGGTTGGAAATAGCCAGACTCCCCCTCACTTGGGAAAACCGGCTCTTGGCACAGAGCTGGCACGAAGTCGGCACTTTCCAAACCTAATCGAGTTCATGACAATGGAACTAGCACGAAGTCAACACGGGCTGGCTGGAGCCGCGACATCTAACATGATTGAGTTTATAAGGACAGAACTGCCACGACGCTGCCGCGAAGCTGGTTACTAGCTGAGCTACTTCCCCAAGCTCAGCTAAGTAACTACGGAAATACTGATGCTGTCTGGTTATCGCGCTTTTCTTTGATGATAATTCATACATCGAGATAATGAAATAAAAAATGATGATTGTAACATCTGTATATCAAACATAGGCGACAATGAAAGCATGAATGTTGAACCTGTTGGTCATAACCTCAAGAGAAGGCAAGAAGAGATTGTCACAAAGATTACGGCTGCGGCTAAGTTCAGCAAAACAAGCCAAGACCATTTGTTTATCGTGTACGGAAAAGCCGGTTGAGGCAAAACATCTACCTTTAACGTTGCGATTCATGCACTTGAAAGCAGTGGACTTGAGGTCATTGCTATTGCTTCTACTTGAATAGCTTTTGCAGGATGATCGAAGTGCACACAGTAATGTTGAATAGACTATTGCGCGACGTGGGTACTAAATAATCGATCTCAACCGAGACCAAGTAATGATTTTCGGAAGTGAGGTGTCAAATTCTTCCTGTACTTTTCGGAGCCACAAAAGATCGGAGCGGCATTTGACGCCAAAAGCCAATAAAATATCCAGGTAGATTTGAGAAGCTCTTCTATACACTCTGCGCCTTTGATTTTTCTGTACAATAGTTGAATCTTTATATACGCTGATATAGATACAGCGCGTGTCACACTGTAATTTAATGCGATGTGGAACTCCATGCAATCTTCTGCTGTGCTTAATGAAAATATGAGACTTTATCCTGATGGAAGATGCCGCATGGCTACGTGCTGTAGGAGAAGGAAGAAATCTGAGGGACGACGAAAGTGTTGATTTTCCTTCCGAACTGTGCATGGAAAGTGAAGAGGACGTGATGCAATGTATACAATGAAGTTCCTTGATACCTTCAGCTAATGAGTAAGATGGCATTATCGACTATGTGCAAATGCGAACTATTGAACTCAATGAGAAGTACTGAAAATGACTTCCGATGATTTCATAGAGATTTATATAATAAACACTCTATTACTGAAGAGGAAGAGTCTGTTGGAATGTCATGTAAAGACGAAGAATATTTGCATGATTCGTACCACGAATGCCGCTGTACAAATTATTGTTGAAGCTTAATGCGATTGTTATGCTCTTAAGAAAATAGACGTTGGAGTAAAGTTGGTATATGGCACAAGACTGGAGATATCAGAAATCCTGTGCGACAAACGATTGCTGCGATGTAGGAACTTGCTTACAGAAAGATGCAGTTATGTCACAAACATGCCTCTTGATTACGCTGACGGTAAGACGGCAGTGATATCTAAAAGTTTCATTTTCCTGTGAGAATGTCCTATTATGACTATAAACAAAAGTCAGGAACAGACGTTTAAAAAAGTAGGTGTAATCATGCGAATGCATTCGTTCGCTCACGGAGGCACTTACGTGGCTTTACCACGAGCGCGGTCAAAAACACAAGTGAAGATTACCAGCAGTCCTTGTCGCCGTATGCAACAGTCGTTTTCTTACAAGGGAAGCTTGTTTAGTCGAAGTGGCCTTTCTAAATGAGATGTATACCATATTGAAGGGTATAAAACGCTGACTCCAAATCTGCCTTCCTTATCTGCAGAGCATTTATGCATGAGAAGTTGCGTGCCCCAGTGCATTCCTTGTTGGAATATTGTTTACTCGGACGTTATCGTTTGAATGATTAGAGATAGTTGAATTATACTAGAGCATGTGCTACTATTAGGTTGTGACAGAATCAATGCAGGTTTTCCAAATTTTGAGTTTGGAATACTATAACTTTCTACGAAAGTAGTCAATCCGTTAAAACACTACAATCACAAGCCTTTGGCATCTTAATGCGCACTATTTTATCGTTGTAGCTTTACTGAGAAAAGTTTCATAGCCTGAAGACTGCCAAAGGTTTTCTTAAAAAACCTTCAGTTTGAGAGACCATAACTCACTATACAGTGTAGTAGAATGGTACGAACTTCATCACTGCGCAGATAATAGTTTTTTGTTCAGCAGCGTTGAAGTTGATTTTTACGAAAAAAAAATTTTGTTGGGAAATATTGCAAAAGATTTGTAATCGCTCATTCTCCACAAGTGCTTTTAAAAGACGAAAAGGTGCTTTTTGCAGTTTTTTGAATTTATTCGCCGCCGAAGAGAATAACAGCTTTCGGTTTTTTGCTGCCATGTGTCCTATGTCCATTCTTTCTGCGCACGGCAAAAGCTCCGCAATTGCTTCGCATTTAGGATTTTTATACGCCGCAGATTAATAACAACGGTTGGATTTGAAACAAAATTTCTCAGTCTGGAAACTTTCGAGAAATTTGCTTCAGTGTGCATTTTGTAGCACAGATCACATACAAACATTGTGCCAGTTTGCAACAAATTCCGATTTTGCGCGGTGGATTTGAGCAAAAAGTGTAAAAGGAAAACTTTCAAGGTTTAGTCTCTGGAGTTCAAAAGCATGTAATTTCGAAATGAACCCAGTTCTCCTGTAGCCCTGAGGGTTAAACTAATTCTGAAGGATTAATTTACGATTAACCCGCATTCATGAAACACAGGGTTTAACCCTGAAGGTTAAATCTACCTTTGAGGGTAAACCTTACCCCAAAAGCGATTAACCCGTATTCATCAACGAATCCTGAGGGTTTAACTAACCCTGAGAGTAAAACTTACGTAATTTATCGGGTTAATTTAACCCTAGCTTAGAGCAAGGTTAACTCTACCCTAACACTTCATACAAACATTTACTCGCATCTAAT